TTTCGCGACGTGGAATGTGAAATGTGATTTTCACCAGTGTTTTTCATATCACGGGTGAAACTCCAGTGATACTCCGTGATATACTAAAAGTAACAACGGCCATGCCAGTAACCACCCACCTCCTAGCCGTCTTCTCAGCGACGCCCATTCCGATGTTCAAGGCCTCTCGCATGCTCTTTAGTTCCCCCAGTGATAGCTGACCAGGAGCTGCTGCCTTCATCGCTGGGTGCCGAACTGGCGTCCAGTAGGGATTCATGATCTACCCCAATAACAACAACATGTGTATAACACCATAATAGGCATTAACTCACTCTCGAGATCACACCGCGTGGGCCCATGCACAGCCCTACGGATGGCTTAGAAGTCCCTTGGAGCTTCTCCTCCTGAGGGAGGAAGTCAGCCAGAAAGACGTATCATCACGACTCACCTGTACAGCAGTTATCAGACTTGCATCAGACTCCGAAGAGGCAGTGAACACGACCTTACCGACGGCTGACCACCATGGTTGAAGCACCTACAATAACCACGATTGACCAAAAAGAACAACGTGGTGTTATTCCACATATTACTATAGTAAGGTGACTAGCATTACTGTGTATATTCGCTAGTCCCACACTATAGTAATATGTGAAATACCATCACAACAAGTTCTATATTTCGCATAATGACATAATAACAGTTATCTGTCTTACTATAGCAACAAAAGTTGTTGCCAACAACAACAACCGTACCTCATCAAAAGCTCGACAGACCTCTATTCGTCCTCCTGTAGGAGGCCTTAGGAAATGCCGACTAGCCACGTAGCCAACACCAGTAACAGGGGCCGGGAAGGAAGACTCTGAGCATCGGCTAACCTCGATATCAACATATGATATACAACAAGATCGAGAAACCTGAAAACCATCAACGAGTTAATCACCGCGGCAGACCATACACCAGTGCTGGAATAAAGTGCTAAATATAATTTCTACACTAACTATACAAGTTCATATACGGATTACATTAGAAGTGTACAGAAACCAATGAGGATTTCGCACTAACTCACAATTTCCATATTGTTACCAACACACGTAGTTGCCCATGTGCATATGCTCCCACACCGCCACACACCGGAACCTTACTCGCTTAACGAAGTCCCAATACAGTTCATCACTCTCATCAAACTGGCCGCCTTCAGAGGAACTCCGCAATGTAGCAATGACAGGCAACTTCCCAGCCGCTGTAGACGCATACCTTAAAAACGACAACCCATTCTCACTAGCTATCTCGAGCTCCTAGCCTTACTGTAACTGTCGTATACAGTCTCCAGGGTCCTTCAACAGGTCAAGTCTGACCTCAACTGCTG